GTCTGATCCCAGTTTGGCGTTCATGTCTCCCATTAGTATTTTAATGTCACCGACTGGAGTATTGTCCATTGTTGCCTGTAGTTGTCTGTAGAATTCTTCTTTCTTTTCGAGGTCTGCGTTGTTGGTCGGTGCATAGCAGTGTATAACTGACACTTTCCTTCCTTTTGAGTTGAATCTGGCGGTCATTATCCTGGGCGAGATCGCCTCCCATTGCATCAGGGCCTTCATTACCGTTGGTGACATCATGATAGCCACGCCCTCGGTGTGCGAGTGGTTATCCTCTGGGTGACCGGAGTAGATCACTGGCTCACCTGTTGAAAATTTGGTGAGTCCATTCCCGTTGCATCTGCTTTCACATATCCCCAGTAATTGAATTCCGTATCTTTTCATTTCGTTTGCGATCTGGGCAGCTTTGCCAATCTCGTACATGGTGCGGACATTCCATGTCCCCAAACAGACTTTTCCTTTTGGCGCAAGGAGATTCGTCGTGCTGAAGTTTCTGTAGCAGCTTTGTTTACAGGGTGGGGTTGCTAGTCTCACGCCTGAGAAGGGGAGAGAGAAAAGGTTAGTGTTGCGTGACCGCAGATCCCAGGGGACAAATGCTTGAGGCCGGTCACACGTGGCCTGTTTTTGTTTGTTTTTTCTTGTTTGGTGTGTCTCAGTAGCATATTTATCACTTCTGCCCTGTGACACAGCAGCATGAAGCGCGGTCGTTGTTAATCCGGGCCCCGACCGATCCGGCATGATATTTTGTGAGTCTGTTTGAATCATAGTATTGGATTGGGTAGCTGCTTTTTGTCTAACCGCTATCCAAACAGCCTTTCTGGCATGGTAGGACCTACAGGAACATAAGTTCCAGCCAGTGTAGCTCCTTGGGTCATTGCGATATGGAAGCCCGACCACCACGTCAAGGTAGCATACCTCAGATTATATTACACTGCATGTAAATCCTGTACGAAGAGGAAATATTTGGCAACTAGGTACGCTGAAAATTTCTATACTATGTGTTCGCATATTGTTGTCTGAAACAAAGCCTTATTATTACTATTAGTAGTAGTAGTAGTAGCATTTGATTGATATTTCCCACTGATTTACGTGATCTTTTAACGTTCACGAGTGAGTTCATGTGAGTGTTTGAAGTGTCCAGCACATGCATTCCTGTTAATTTTCGTCCGATTACAGAGTTTTATTTATTTTGCTTGATTTATTCATCACATAAAAAAGTGTTCTCCTGGAGGAGTCATGTTTGGTGGTAGTATCACCACGTGACCAGTCTGTACAACAGGGTAAGCACAGAGAATATTCAATGAAAATGGTCGAGTCATTTGAGAAGTTAATAATGTATTGGTTAAGGCGGACGCATGTTCACACTACTATGATGTGTGTTCAGTGTCGCATGTGCTTGGTTTAGAAAAATTCTTACGGGATTTTGACGAAGGATGAATCCTCTTTTAGGTTGTGGATGATGTATATTGTGATATCGAATGTTTGGTACGCGTAGTATGGCGTCGTAGGGTCTTAGCGTTACTGAGCTCAAGTTAATTGAGTGAAGAAAAGTATGAGTTGTAAGTGCATCAAAATATAAGGAAACTTATGTAGTTTGTGGAATGATGACTTGGGAGTTGAAGTGTTTTATTCCTTGCTTGTTCAGTGTCAATTTTGGGTTGGTTAAATATGACACTTGTCTACTTGATGAACGTCTATGATTTATTCTTGGTTGAGTATTTGTACTGAACATTAATATTGCTTTTGTTGCGACGGATTAGGTTTATGGATACATTTGATCTGAAGGCGTATATAGTGGGACTCAAGAGTATTTATCAGGCTTGTACGCATATACATAATGTAAAGAGAAATTTTGTTTGCATATTGAGAGCATTACATAGTAATACATCTAAAAGAAAGTGGATGTCTCAATCAGTAGATGAAAGCTTATTGCTTAAGGAAATGCATAACTATTATTGTATTGAGATACATGCGAAGGAGTGATTCATTCTCTTTATGTAACTGTTCATAAATTGCAATACTTCACAGTTAATTTGGCATGCTATCTTTTAACATACGAAACGTTCACCTGCTGATGCCATAGATTTTGAAGTTATTAATTTAATTCCTTCTCATACTAAGGTTATGGTCGTGGTGGATTTGGAAATGAAAGAAGAAGTGATATTGGTAATAGTGGGAGAGGCGGCAGTGGTGCCTTTACTCAGGGATATCAAATGCATGGTCAACCGACACCGTCTATGGGTGGTGGTGGTGGTGGCGGCGGCGGTTATATTCCAGATCCTTATCAAATGGCTGTGATGAACCAACAGATGAGTGGGTTGACGTTATTTGAACCTGGATTGTCAGTTGGTCCACAGCAGAATTTTGTCTTTCAAGTAAGGGATCATAATATTGTTTTATCATCCCCCATTCACTATAGTTTGGTTGATTTGTCAAATTGTTTCTGCTTTCCTAGTCATAAGAATATAAAACATGCTTGCGAAGCGGAAGAATGTGAGACTTATCTATCAGTGTCTGTTTAATTGGAACTTTTAAATCCTTTGTTGTTTAATTTCACTGACTGGGAATGCTCCTTCTCTTTTGGCACATCGGTTTTATAGTGTTGACTCTCCAAGGATGCCTGGAGGTTAACTTAGTGTTATGGTTATTCGAGTCCCATTGGAAACACCATCACTCATTAGCGTGCTGGTACACTCCGTTGAATAGCCCAACGAGAAACACGCGTCCTAAATTCCACTGCTGGCCACCACCAACTGAACAGCTTATCATCCTTATAATTCAACTAATAGAGTGCTCCGTTATGGATAAGATTTTATTGAAGTGGGGAGCCTAACTGATCACTATCTCACTGTGAATTCTCAAGACAAATTTTTCATCTATTTAATCGGGGGTGGGCGGTGCGGACGATGTTTTTAATTCAATTTTAAACCCAACCAATATATATCAACTTTTCTATTCTTTAAAGTATGGAAATAAATTAATCTTGGACTTCTTGTTGACTAATGCGTTGTGATAGTCGTAGAAGCTAATATTTTAGTGTTTATGAGGAGATGCCAGCTACACTCACTTTTAAGATCCCAGTTCTTTTTGTTTTTATAGGATGCAGCAGCTGTTGTGAGCACTTAGTATTGCTAGGTCCTGGGTTCATAATCTTTTTCTGTCCTCTTCACCGCCTGATTATGTATGTGTTGTACCTAATATAAAGGTGTTGAATAATTTAAACGGAATCCCTTGTGCTGTGTAAATTATCTTTGTACTCTGCACTACACTACAGTGGTGTACTCCGTTGTTTTGAATTGTAAGTTTTCTAAACCAGACTAACGATATGTCATAGCAGTTGCAGTTTTTCAGTTGACAGGGTACTCTGGACATGGGAAGTGGTACAAGTTTTGCTGTTAAAAATCGATAAAAGTTATCGGCAATTCCTGTTCTCTGCACAAGTCGAACCTACATTATCACTCGACGGTGAATTCAGTAAACTTACCACTAAGGTATTCAAATCACGTTGGGGAGGGTACCATTCGGTAGCCATCTAACATTTGTATATAACAAACTAACAGAAGAGAAGAACACAGGTATAGTCGGCATTATAGAATGCAGAGAATACCACTAACTGGTTAAAATTGCTAGTTGTTCAATATGAATAGTGCTTTCCAGTTGGACTGGCGATACATTTTTCATACTATGATTAAGTTGACATGAGTTAGAAAAACACCCCAAGTCGACTAAATTCTGCTTCTTTTTTGGTTTTCAAATTCCATTATCAAATGACTCTTGGTATTAGGTAGTGCTTGGGAATCAGCGACAGTTCCGTTCGACTGGTTTGATCATCGATTATCATTCTTTGCAAGAAAGGAGACAAGTCTTCAGGTGACAATCATCGGGGGCGGGAAGGGTATAAGCCTGAATAATATAGTATCTAAAGTTCTAGGCTTCCAAGTCATGCATAGACTGAATAATGCTAGGTAGAAATATACAGGCGAACGTAGTGTTTATCATGTAGTCTAGTCTAAATGATAACGGAAGATGGTACACTCGACTTAAATCTTTTCCTAGATGAAAACTTGATTCAAGGTTTCTATTCTCAGATTGACTGACTTAGGCATCAGCACAGAAATCGGCTATGACATCAACTGTATATAAGTCGACATCAGCTGACTTTATAGACTTAACATACAACAGCATAGTTGCTTACTCTCTCTCTCTCCTCCCTTTCTCATATACTATAACTTGTCACAACTACTTGTTATTCACTCTGATACTTTATAATTATCAGTCAGGAAAACAGAAAAATGGCTCAGAAGGTGTCAGTGTCACAGTCATCAAGTGAACGATTTCCACCATTCCTATCACCAAGATTCCGTAATCATTGAATCCCAACGTCTTCGTCGTTGATTGTGTACCGCTTTAAGTGGTTCAGACTAACAGCCAATCACTTGATATATTCCTGCTATGTTTTTGTCTGGTCATATTTAACACTTCCAAGCAAATCCTACTTCGATTGACACTGTTTACTGGCAAAGACACTAGCTTCTAGTTCGTTACATGCGTCTTATCCACTAACCTAGTCGGAGAACATGTATGTAAAAAGTACCATTTCAGTAGGTGTGATTACAAAAAATAACTTTACTAACTTTAGTTGTACTAGCTAACATTAGTAAGTTATACTGTGTGACGATAATAGTCTCACGTTATAATAGTTTAGCAGCGATAAAAGAATGTTAGCTAACTGAATGATATTTAATTAGCGTTGTTCGAGTTCATTCATTTTTGAAAAAGAAGTCACAATAAATAACGAGGCTATAAATGGCCTTTTCTTTTTATCTATCGCTGTTTTTGTGGAACATTTTTGTGCCTCTTTTCTTAGTCAGCTAATCACATTCTCACCCCTATGAGCTGTAGATAATTAAGCTGTGTATTCTCCGTTGTAATTTGGAACAGTATGAAGATAATTATAATTGTTTATTATTATTATTGTTTCCTTTAATTCCTAGAGGAACATAGGGCTTCATTCGCACGTTTTTATTGCGTTCGGTTTTCTGCCAACGTTTTCACCTGGCTCCACATTTGTCCACATGCTTCGTTTCCTCTTCACGCGACCTCCTCCATGTCACGTCGCACTGACGACCAACTTGCCCCTTCACATTCCGGTTCCACTCGAGCTATGGCCTGGTGTGTGATGTCACTCACTTGATGGTTTCCTCAGTGTATGGCCAATCCATCTCCATTTCTTCCTGAATATTTGTCGCACGATTGGCTCCTGCTGGGTTCGTTCGCTCCCAGAGATCCCACTGTGTTGCTGATCTTTTCTGGCCATCTGATTTTGAGCAAAGTATTGAGCGAAGACAGCTGTTGGTGAAGGTCTGTAGTTTGTTCGAAGTGCCTTTCGTGACTCGGCGTCAAGTCTCTGATCTGTAAAGTAGCACTAACATCACATTGGAGTTGAAAATCTGCACCTTACTTTTCATACTGAGTGCTGTTGATCTCCATACAGACTTGAGAGAAATGAAAGCTTGCCTTGCTTTCCCGATCCTCGCTTTGATATCCTCATCAATTCCGTCCGCCTGTAGTTGAAACGATGCCTCCCAGGTAGGTAAAGGATATTGTTTATTAGTGACTTCTAAGAAACATTCAAACAGGCATTCGAATATAAAGAGATGACTAAGAAATGTGTTTTGCATGTCTTGCCATCGCTTTCCTCAACCGGCACTGTTCACTGACATAGGATCATGTTTAAAAAGAGCTAATGGTGATGGTGGTCAAACCGGAACATAGAATCAGTCAATGAAGTCTTTAATAGTTAGTTTGAGCCAAGTAGGCAGGTATGGACTGCCTGGTTGTGGATTTTAATAAGCAATGGCTGGAGATAACCGTTAATGATATGGCTCAAAATCGTCCTTGCCAATGGCAAAGATTCATTCTCTCTGCCATATCCATTAAACCCGCATGTTTTTCCATGTTTCTGTTATTTCTCCGTCAATTTTCTGCTTATTAAAGTCATTTTGGATTTCTTTTTCCTCTCCTTTGTCTCTGCTTTTGTGTGCTACATAAAGTGTGAAAAGTTATAATGCTTCACTTCCGCACAAAGGTCTCTGTTGAAACGGAGTCAGTCACTAGCATATAAAACTTCACATAAAAGTACAGTGCGTTTATAAAACTTTGTTTATTATTAGCTTTATCTGGTCGGTCGACTTCTAGTTTAATTGGTTTACTCATGAATAATTTGCTCTATTTTCCTTTGAAGCCTACAAGCGGATATGTCTCCGGTGATACCAATTACAGTAGAGGTCAACGAGGTGGACGTGGAACTGGAGGCAGCAATCGTGGGAGTCGCGGAAGAGCTTATTAAGTGCTGTTATCTCTTTCCTAGTTTCATCATTAACTTATACCGCTTCTTTGCTTTACCTCATTACTTCATTGTTAATGTGATAGCCGTGTTATGTTATGGGCTTGTTTTTTAAACTCTGTTTTTTTCTTTTTCCTATTTGACGAAAATTGTTCAACTTCTTTTTCCCTGCTTTTATATTAAATTGTTGACAATAATAAACAATTTTGTGGATGGAAAAGCTGTTGTTCTTTTGTTTGTATCATGAGTGAAATTTACAGCTCAGCTGCCTGGTCGTCATATAAGTTATACTGTCTTGTTTTATGCGGTACTGTTCAACGCTTCTCTCGGTGTCTAGTTTAGAGTACAGTAAATATTTCACTTTCAAGACAAGCACCATCTTCCAATAAGATTTGTTTTTGAATGAATTTCGTTCATACAAAAAGTGTAGGAAGGATATTGTATTATTGTGAAAGAAAGCCATTAAAAGAAATTTACACAGCCCCAAGTGTAATAGATAATCGTTTATTGTTTCACCTGTTTTTCATGCTTGTATCCTGTTTAATGGATTGGATGAGTAACATCAGCCTTCAGTTACTTGCCACTTGTTGTCATCATACTTTGTTTGTAATAATCCTTATTTTTCATTAAGTAAGCTGCTAAATATTCAATCGGCTTCTGTGGTCTATGAAGATAAACTGAATTATTTGTTTTTGAACAGAAGATTGAAATACCTTTCTCTGGATAGCTGTAACAATCCGTGGATAAGAACTGGTACTACAAGTCTTTCTAGATAGGTACGTGTTGGAAGAGCTTGAAGTTCAGTTGTTGTAGCCTCTGAACGGATATCAGATTTCACATAGTTTATTGTGTTGCTAAGACTTTTCATGAAGTGTTCTATGTGAATATCTTCGTTGTTTGACATATCAGTGTGTATCTCAAAATCAACTGTTGAAAAAAACAATGTCGACTTCTTCCAATACTCGTAGATTTTTGTTTCGCCCCTTTGAAATGCTATGTCTGAGAGATATTGAAAATTAAAAAAAAAAACACAACAGTAGTGGATTAGTAATTAGAATGAAGATATTTATAAACAATTGCATTTTGTTCTAAGAAACTGTGAATCAATCCCTGGAAGCATGACTGCAAAATATGTTGAACGTTTACCGTTACTTCACGTTTAGAGAGCGTAGCCTTGATTTTGATTTGTCAGTCTGAGGTTATGCGAATTAGTAATTTTGATAGATTTACAGTAAGTATTAAAGTATCCTACCTCATCTACTCTAGAAATATTCCATTATATAGCAATTTTTAGGGTTGAAAAGGAAACTTTGCTAACGACAGGACTAAATAGATCAGTTTAGAAGGTACAGGTTTTATTATATATAATCGCCGAAATATTTGCCAAAAATGAGCAGCCACATTTCTTAATGTCACTGACAACTACCTTCGATTTGTTAGGAACTATATAAAAATAAACGTAAATATTGAACAGTGTGTTAAATGGGACTATATGGATTTCTTAAACGGTTCAAATAAGTACACTATGCAGCTAGGCCAACGCCTTCCTCTTTTCTGCTCTCTTGATTGAAATTACAGTCAAAAACATTCAAATTAATGGTTGGAGGCAATCGGCAGGAAGCCTTGGACCTAGGTTTCGTGCTAGTTGGCACTTGTCAGCAAGGCGTATCTGCAACCTTGAAGGAACTCATGTCATTTCTGAGATTCGAACCCGCGTCACCCAGTGCTGCAGTCAGAGACGTTACCACTGAGCTATTCGGGCTCGCGATTGACCTCCTGTAGGACTGTAGTAGATATTTTGATTTGACACTATGAACTAGTGTTATGCGTCTAGTCCTCTCTTTGGTGAAGACTGATAGAATTCAGTCTTCACCAAAGAGAGGACTAGACGCATAACACTAGTTCATAGTGTCAAATCAAAATATCTATAAAAAACATTCAAATTAACAATCTTATAATACCTGTTCTCCTAGAAGAAACATTTTTTTCCTTAGATAATCATTCGCTGAACGATATCGTCTTACTGGGTTGATATATGTTTTACTTACATAAAATGTAGCAATATACTGGTGATGTTATTTTAAGGTATAAAGAATACATTCATTTTCCAAGTGAAACCATTTTAATACATTAAAGTTGGTAGATCAGCTGGCACTACATTGCTTAAATGTTCACCACAGCCATCCGGTGACTGACTGAAAAAAAGCGATGTGAGAGTTGCACGACTTCATGGGATGGATGGTTCTACTCGATCCATTGGCTGAAAGACATGCAACATATGACTTGTAATTTCAGGAAGGTTACTTATGCTTATTATTATTCTTGAGGAGTAAGATAGTATAAATGACTTCTTCAATATATGTATGCAGTTGAAACTTCATCTTAAATATTGTCATTTTAAGAAGAAAGGAAGACGCTCACACATAGCTGATTGTGTTTTAAAGTCAGATCTGTATTGGTATTCATTGTTACTTGTGGTGACTACTCCAGATCTTTACACTGATTTCACAGAGATGAGCTTTTAGAAGATGAAGGGATGTAACATTTACATAAAGTATGATTTATACAAACGCTAGTCTTACCCTCAAACTCCTATTGCAAAGACAAATCAAAATACCAATTTGATCTTCTGATATACGAGATATATTTTAGCATCAGAATTGTAGTACAATGATGATTGCTTAACACGAACGATCGGACGTAACATGACAGTATGCCAGATATCGTGGAGGCCTGACCGCGAACCTCCAAGTTAACGAATCTCCCTAAACAGTGAAGAATGCTGTAGACAAATAATTGTGGGGAATTGTTTACCGCTACAACCTCCTATCTTACTTTCTTGGTTTGTTAATGACTGGCTTTAACATCTTCATCCGTGTCACTTGCCTGTAGTTGGAACGCTGCTTCCCAGCTAAGTGGAAGAGGTAACTTCCTTCGGATTTCCCCCTTTATGATGACTGGTTCCTGTTATTGTCTGTTGGGTATCGTCATCACTTTTGTCCTCTCTGCGTTCACGTGAATTGCTTTCTTTGCTGCCTTTTCTGTCAACTTGTAAGTTCTCACGGGTAGACTTTCAAGTTTGTACGACGCGAGGTATAAATCACCCACCAAGTCTGGATCTCCTAGACTATTTTAGTCAACCCACCCACGGTCTGTCTCATGATCCAGTCTACCACAACTAGGAATATTTTCGATGACAGTAAGCTGCAATGTCTTAACTTCAAACGCCTCACTAAGTTTCCCATTGTTAATTACTTTGCATCTGACCTCACCATATAGCTGTTAAATAAGGTGTTGAATTAGCTGCGAATAACTTCACAGTCAAAGCTGTTGAAAGTCCTTCAGAGTCGATGAAGCTGAGGTAAAGAGTTGACTGTCAATCTATAGTTTGGTGTGCAATGAAACCAGCTTGTTCTGGTAGGAGTTTTCTTTCCAGATCATATTTTAAACTTTCACCGATGACGCCGCTTAATGTTTCATTTGGAGTAAACATGAGCACGACCCCGCGCCAGTAATTCCACAGGCTTGACTAGAAAGACTTTATTCCAATCGGCGTGTACCTTTGCTTCCTTCGACACTTCGAGTACTGGCACGAGCATTTTGAAGTCTCTGGATTTATTTTCAGCGCTTCTGGTTCGAGAAGGATTCCACATGGTCCTGTTGCTTTCTCAGCATTCAGGAACTTTATGGCCTTCGAGACCTCTGCTTTTATCGGAGGGTAGGTGTTCAGTGGTAGATCTGAGTCTGATGTTGGTGGTGGTATCTCTGGCAGAGTTGCAGCTGGTAGTCTGTTTTGGAGTTTTTTTAAGTCACCAGCCCAGCGTGTCCCTCGTTCCATTTCTTTCGTAACTAGAGTTCCTTCACTGATTTTCAATCTGTTTGTGTCAATCTTTTCAGGGATACCGTCCTTCCTACTCCACATAGTGTCTTAAGGTCTTCCTTATCTACATCCTATTCTGCTTCAGTAGTCAGTATGTTCTAAGAGTGTCTGGCACTTTTCTTTAATCTTTTGTTTAATGTGTTGCAGAGTCTGCTCAGATTCTCCTTTCGTTATTTCTACACTGTTTCATCATTCCACTCTCCTTTACCAACTTCCAGGTGTCCGTAGAGAGAGATTTTCTTGTCTGAGATATTTATACATTTTTGCTTCCATATCGTTTTCAGAGAGTTCCAGTGATCTGTTACGCAGGCTTCTTCACTGATGTTGCTGAATATTTGAGTCTTTTCCAATGATGACCGTAGTTAACTGTATCAGTTTCAATTGTGGTCAACTTCCAGTGCTAGGTATGGAGGGAAACCAGTAGACGAGGTTGTGAGTTTACATCGACTGAGATGGTTAGTACATTTGTTACGTAAGCCTAGCCATCGCGTTCCTCCACGGGCAATGTTAGCTAACTTAGGGTCAGGTTGGAAAAGAGTTAGCTAGAGGTGGTCAAACCGAAACATAATTTCACCAGTCAATAAAATCCACAACAGTTAGTCTAAACCAGTCACGTAGGAAGGCGTAGACCTCCTGGTTGGGGTCCTCGGGACAGTAAAAACCCAATGGTTGGAGACAAATGGTGATATGGCTCAAAATCGTTCTCAATGGCTGGTGCAGATGCATACACTCCTTGTGACTTATGATTTCAAATGAAACT